TCTGGCCTGCCCCGCGAGGTGACCTTGGTCGAGTCCCCTGTCGCGCTGAGCTGCGGCGAGCGTCCGTGGCGTAGGCCTGTTAGGGACCGGGCTGTGGAGCGGTTGAGGACACAGACCTAGAGCGGCCCCACAGGCTGCCCCGTGGCAGCGTAACGTCCGGGCTGCCGGGGGCTGTGGGGGGAGATGCCCCTGCGTGTGAAATGGCCGTTCCCCGCGGTGCCGCCGGTCACGTGGACCCTGGCCAGCAGCGTTGTCATGGGCCTGGTGGGCACCTACAGCTGCTTCTGGACCAGTGAGTGGGCTTGTTTGGGGGGAGGCCTGGGCCCCAGGGGAGAAGGAGGCCGAGACCCCCACATTATTTCTCTCCCTCCCAGAGTACATGAACCACCTCACCGTCTACAACAAGGAGGTGCTGTATGAGCTCATCGAGAACCGAGGCCCAGCCACCCCCCTCATCACTGTCTCCAATCACCAGTCCTGCATGGATGACCCTCATCTCTGGGGTACCCGGGCCAGTGTGCTGGGCACAGGGAGGCAGGGAGAGAACCCCGGAAATGGCCAAAGAAGCAGAACAAACTCACTTCTCACTGGGCTCTTCACATAACTCTGGCATCCTGTTCCTGGGGCATCCTTCCCCAGCAGTGAAAGTGTGATTTGTGACCCCTTCAGCATCCTCTCAGGGAAGGTGATTTGGAGAGGGCCTCAGAAATTTGGAGGGAATGAGGAAGTGAGGAAATAGCTGCAGGGCAAGGTCTGACAGGCCTGTGGAATTCTCTGATCTCTAAATCCTTGAACGTCCCACAGAGTCTTGGAGTCTTGGGAACAAATTTGAGGACCTCTCAAGGAAACTCTGGGTTAGGGGCTGGGAGACCTGTATCCTCGTTCGAGGTTTGCCCCAGGCTGGGTTTGTACCCTTCAACCAGCCTTATTTGGGAGCCTGGTTCCCCACTTAGAAGTTCCTGCTCAACTGACTTCACAGGAATTTGCTTGGCTCCAATAACCCAAATGGCTGGGTAGAGGGGTATCCAGAGCTTTCACTGCTGAACGCAGGAGGGTAGACTATCCTAGAGTTCACAGAGAATCACCTGGTCAAATCAGAGCCTTTCAGAGCTCACCCTGGCTGCTGGGCAGAGAATGGTCTGTGAGGTGCTGCAGCCAGATCCCAGGAGGCCAGGAAGGAGGCTTTAGAGCGTTACAGTAGCCTGGACTACAGTGAAACTGGAAAGAGAGGTATAGAAGAGTAGGGCACCGTCCAAATATATTAGAGAGGTAGGCAGACCAGGCATGGTGACTAATAAGATACGGGGAATGGGACAGAGCAAGAAACCAGAAAGAATTTGAGGGTCCAGCTCAAGGGTCTGGAAGATACCACTTTGGGCCATAGGGAAATAGTAGTGCTGCTGCCCTTGTCCTTCATTCCCTGAAATGGGGTGACAGGAAAAGGTGCTCCCTAGGAACAAGGTAAGTTGGGGCATGAAGCCTTTCCTCTTCTCCTCTAGGGATCCTGAAACTCCGCCACATCTGGAACCTGAAGTTGATGCGTTGGTGAGGAGGAATGGGCCCCTCTCAATGGGCCGGGCAGGCCTCACCCGTCTCTGCCCAGATTTGCCTTCCTCCTGCTCTGCCCAGGAGGCGGCGTCCAGCAGTCCAGGCAGGGCATGGGGTGGGGCCCCAAAGGTCCTCTTGTGCCTCCATTCCACATTGCTGATGATGTCATGCATCATGCTGGGGGGATGGTCGGGAAGCAGTGTCCAGGGGAGGCAGGGATGACTGCGTCTGTCCCCACTCCAGGACTCCTGCAGCTGCAGACATCTGTTTCACCAAGGAGCTGCACTCTCACTTTTTCAGCTTGGGCAAGTGCGTGCCTGTATGCCGAGGTAAGCTACTCCTCTGGGAGGGGCTGGTGGGGCAGTGGGTGCAGAGAGATGCTTCTATAGGCTTCTCTGGTCTCGCTTGGGGCAGAGAGCCTGGTGGCCAGTGCCTCTGACTTGGCAACACTGGGAGTGGAGGGACCCAGGTGGGACAGGCATCCTGGGAGTACGGGGAGCCAGGAAGTGCTGCCCCACTACCGTGAGGCCCAGCTCCCTTGCTGGAGGAGCAGTGGTTTCTTGGAGAGTGCTTGACTCTCTGCAGTTGCCTCAGTGTTGTACAAAACTGGAGCTCTGGCATTAGAATTCAAGGAGGCATTGTCTGCAGCGCCTTCTCTTGAGGACTTGCTAAGAGACTCACTGGTAGCAGAGTGGTATCTGTGGTGGTGGCAGCATGTGCTACAGGCTGTAGGGAGAACAAACATGCTTGTGGAGTGAGGTGTGTAACATTGAATGACTACTCAGCACCTCTCGAGAGCCTCAGGAGGTAGGGGCCATTTGGGTTCCCATTCTCCCCATAAAGGGACTCGGAAGGATTAAGCTGCTGGCCAAGGTCACTGGGTGACATGTGGCAAAGCCAGGATTCAAATCCAAGTTGCTCTTTCTTCTGGGGAAGTAGAATTTTTCCAGACAGAATATGAAAGGAAAAGCATTCTAGACATGGGAAGCATGTGCCAGGCACTGGAGAGGTAATTGATAAATGTTGAAAGTGCAGGTTTCAGGCTGAATGTGAAAGTTCTGGAATTAAGAATTTTGGTCTGTTCTCTCATCAGGATAGTGATGTGGTTCAGAGAGACAGCATCCTGGTCACGGAGTGGCTGGTGGATGGGAGCAGGGCCAGATGGAGGTGGGGAGCCTGGTTAGGGGCTGTCCCAGCAATTCTGGCAGCAGAGGGTTGTAGCTCAGCCCCTGGGAGTCACTGTGGAGAGCCTGAGAAGGGGGCTGCTTTGAGATCTGCTCGGGAGGCAGAGCTGACAAAACTTGTTGATAGACTGGGTGTGGGAGGGGGCGAGGAAATGAGAACTCAAAGATTACACTGGGTGCCCAGCCAGTGAGTGGTTGAGCGTCCACCTGGGAACCAGGAGGTCATGGTTCGATTCCCCGTCAGGGCACATGCCTGGGTTGCAGGCTCAATACCCAGTAGGGGGCGTGCAGGAGGCAGCCAATAGATGATGTTTCTCTCTCATCGATGTTTCTATCTCTCTATCCCTCTCCCTTCCTCTCTCTAAAAATCATTAAAAACATATTTTTTAAAAAGATGACACTAGATGACATCTGGTGATAGTGAGCCACTTGGAGGATGGGATGAGGGGATTGGGAGGGGAGGTGAATCCTGTTTTGCATGTGCTTCATCTGAAGAGCATGTCACGCAAGGAGGGGAGCAGTTCCAGAGGCAGTGGGGTATGCAGTTGTGGAACTCAAACGAACGGTTGGGGATAAAGATACTGGGACTCAACCACAAACTAAGTCACAAACATAGAGGTGAGATTGCGGAGCGGAAGAGCAGGGAGAGAGCAGGGGCCCAGAACAGCACCTCAGAGCTCAGAAGGACAGACAAGTCACCTAGGCAGCAGAAAGCAATGGCCAGAGAGGAAGTAAGCAAAGCCACAGGAGCTTCTGGGGACTGGAAAAGGGGACGGGAAGGGAGACAGCAAGGGTGGCCACTCCTTCCAGAGACTGGTTGTGAGGAAGACAGAGGAAGAAGTAACCAAAGGCCCTGGCTGGGTGGCTCAGTTAGTTGGAGTGCCCTCCCATGCCACCGAGAGGTTGCAAGTTCAGTTCCCGGTCATGGCACATACCTAGGTTGTGGGTTCGATCCCTGGTCGGGCACATGCAGCAGCCAATTGATTGGTGTTTCTCTCTCTGTCTCTCTCCCCCTTTCTCTAAAATCAATAAAAATATATCCTCGAGTGAGGATTAAAGAAAAAAAGTAACCAAAGGGTGTTAGAGGTGTCAAGGGGGAGTTTTTTATTTCTAGTTGGTCAAAGTAAAACATGGTAAAGTTCAATAAAGGAACCTCAAATAAATGAAAAGCTGCCACACCCATGCCTCCAAATCCTCAAACTACTCCCCAGAGACAGCCTCCTAGAATGCTTTCTCGTTTTGCTGCTTTTGGAGGCTGCCTCGTTTCTCTAAAGCACAAGCAGAGGCTACAATGTCATGGCTGGTGACCATGGAGTTGTTTATTATGCCCTGTTCTGAGAGATGGGGACTCTGCTCTTGTACCCTCATCCCTGAGTCCCAGTTCCTCCCTTCTGTGACCTTAGACAGAGGCATCCCATGTCCACTTTTTGTCTCTTCTTTTTGACCTGCATCTAAGATTTATTGCACAAGTAAAAACAGAAAGTAAAATCTTAATCCTAAACACCTTCAGTGTGAGAAAGTGGGCCGGGACAAGCCTTTTATTAAATGCATTTGATGGACAGCAAAGATCTAACGTGTTCAAGCAAAGGAACTATCTGGCATACTTTGCTCCTGTGTTCGAAACCCCCCACCAAGCGTAGGCCTTGTGATATGACATGAAGTATTGGAGTGATCTTGCACAAGCTTTACAAGTGAGTAGAAAGAGCATTTGCAAAAGCTAAACACTATGAAGTGTTGCTCCAAAAAGCATAGCATTGTTTTGAAACTTCGATTTCAAGCTGGATGGCTCGGTTGCACCAGTGGGTTTTAGTAGAGAAGGAGCAGATACCTGAAGCCCACCTCTACCAGGTAACACGGTCCCAAGAGGGGAAACTGCCATTCTCACCATGCTTCCTAACTCTAGCCCCTGAGGAAGCTGCTGGGCCAGGTCCCCATCTGGTTAGATTGAGACTCCTGCTAGCACCTTAACTAGCACCTTCCAAAGACCCAGCCTTGCAGAGAACAGAATAAAAGTCCATTTCTTAGTGCTTTGGCCCGAGATAATGTCAGTGTGGGTCTCTCCCTCTGTGATGTAGCCCTTACCTACTCTACTTACTCAGATGATATGTTTCCTGCTCCTTCAACCTCCCCCTTCTTTGTCTCTATCCACTGTATGGACAAGGCCGATGACTGTGTGGTCATGAGTTGTCTCCACATGGCTCCAAGTTGAAAGCCCACATGCAGAATTAGGCATCCACGTCTGCGTTGTTGTTGACCTCTGGGTTGCCTGGGTTCAGTGTCCTGGTCTTGGGGCATCTGCATGGCGAGTACTGCTAGCACTGGGGGCAGTTCGGCTCCACTTTTTTCAGCCTAGTGAGTTTGAGTTTTTCCCAACTCGCAACACCATATGTTCCATCAGATGGAGAGTCTAGTTTTCAGGGGGAGCCCTGTGAGGAAGGGGCCAGCAGGACGGAGGAGGCTGAGGGTGCAGGCAAGGCTGGGAGGCCTGTGAGGAATAGCTACAAGAACTGGCCTGGCCAAGACCCCGAGAAAGGGTTGCTGTCCAGAATCGGGCCCAAGTGAGGCTGGAAGTCATGAATAGACTTGATTTGCTCCAGCAGCACCCTCTGGGCCAGGGGCAGCAGATGTAGGCTCACTCCAGAGTGGCACATCCCAAGGAGAAAGAAGGCTCCAGGCACCTGGCTGGAGAGGGCAGTGCATGGATCGGGGGTTTGCTAGAGGCTGTACTGCAGGTGTATACCTGTGGCTGAATGGTGAGGCTTTGGAGGGACCAACAGGCAAAAGGTGAGGTTGGAGGTCAGTGGAGGAATTGTCAAGTTCAGAATTTCAGTAGGAGACAGTTTGAGGTGATGATGATGCCTTGCATGTGGCAGGCACTTAGAGGTTTAGAGGATATTTAACAAAGGATGTCAAGGGCTGTGAAGTGGTGCACTGGGGCTGAGCAGGCTTAGGAGAGACAGTCATTGGAGGGTGTCTCTGTGAGGAAGACGAAGTTCCTGAGCTGCTGCTTCATTTTGAGGGAGGGGGAAGGAGGGGCCTAGGAGAATGGGGACTGATGGGGAGACGCCTTTTCTTGGCAGGAGATGGTGTTTACCAGAAGGGAATGGACTTTATTTTGGAGAAGCTCAACCGTGGGGACTGGGTGCACATCTTCCCAGAAGGTGAGTGGGGTTGGCAGGGTCACAATGCCAAGATTATGGGCAAGACCCCCACTCTCCTCCAAAGCCTCCCCTCTGTCTCCCTCCCACACCCAGGAAAAGTGAACATGAGCTCTGAGTTCCTGCGCTTCAAGTGGGGTAAGGGCTGCTGGCCCTGTTGGGCTCCGTTGGACCATGGTATATGGGGCAGTTGAATGTGTTGATAGCAGCAGCAAGGGGACAGGTGCTGAGCCAAGGGCTGGCCCGGGGGAGCTGGTTTGAACTGGGGGAGGGGAGGGTAGCCCCCGCTAGAGGCTAGCACTGTAGCATTGCTTCCGCCAACATTTCTGCCTCTCTGTGGGGCAGGAATCGGGCGCCTGATTGCCGAGTGTCATCTCAACCCTGTTATCCTGCCGCTGTGGCATGTCGGTGAGCCTCCCTCTTGGGGCAAGCCTGCAGTCTAGGGACGGACGCAGGGAGAGGGGCTTCCCTAGGTGTTTGGGGGTGGTTTCCACTGGGTGGCAGGGAGAGGGTGTCCAGGGTGGGGGACCTGGGCTGCTCTGTTCCACCCCACACCTGCTTCCCAGCCTTCTGTTCACTGTGCTGCAGGAATGAATGACGTCCTTCCTAACAACCCACCATACTTCCCCCGCTTTGGACAGGTAGGTAGCAGCTGCTGACCTTCGTCTGTATGCCTGCCTGCCTGCCATCTGCCCTTTGTCTCCCAGTCAGCATTACTGAAGCCATACTCAGGAGAAGCTGAGTTTGACGCTATAGCAGGGTGACCAAGTGGAACATTGAGAGGGCCTTTCTGGCACCAAGCCCCATAGAAAGAGAGCAAAGGAAATCAGGCTGTGGCAGGGGTGGTCCCTGGGGTTAGGACAGGACAGGACATCTAGGCATGGACCCTAGGACTGGGAAGGCTCTTGGGTGCTATTAAGCCTCGTTCTAAAGAGGGAGAGTGGCCAGAGGGAGTACCTAGCAAGTTAGGGGCAGGACTCTGCTTCCGGTTCCCCAGGGCGGTTGGGCTGAGGCTGTGGGCGCTCCCCCTGTTCTTGTCACCTGGTGGCTGGTTCCCCCACAGAAAATCACCGTGCTGATAGGGAAGCCCTTCAGCGTCCTGCCTGTGCTTGAGCGGCTCCGGGCAGAGAATAAGTCCACTGTGAGTTTCCCCAGGCTACCCTCTGGCTGTCCTTCACCCCTCCCAGCACCCTCGGCTTCCAGGGCCCCTGGGCAAAGCTCCTTGAGGGCTTCAGTTCAGCTCCAGTCCTTCTCAGGTGGAGATGCGCAAAGCCCTGACTGACTTCATTCAGGAGGAATTCCAGTGTCTGAAGACCCAGGCAGAACAGCTCCACAACCGCCTGCAGCCTGGGAGATAGGCACTGCCCTGCCCAGACCCTGCCCTGGCTGCCTCAGGGTACTGGGCAAGAGGCAGCTCTGGGACCCAGTGTACAGCTGCCAGGTTCGCAGTGCTGCCTTTGGGTTCTCACCCCTGCATATGGCTAGGGCTGGGAAATGGACTGATGCTTTGAGCTCAGATAGGGTTTTTTTAGACAGATTTCTTTATAACCCTTAAAGGGTACCCTCTCTTAGTTGAGCATTCCAGCTCCTCTGTGGTTTTTCAGTTGAAAAAGGGTCATAGCTACTCCTCCACTTGGCCACAAAGGGAGGGAAAAATTTAGGTAGTGGCCTCCTCCCTTCTTGCCTTCGTGTGTTCTTTCCCAGGGCTAGTGTCCAGAGGGAGGGTAGTTGAAGGGGGGTAGGCAACTAGGCTGGAGCTTGGGGAGAAGCCCACAAGGCCATTGACCTGGAGTTGCTCACCACTTCATCAGGGATGGTCTTTAGCCATTGCATCCTCTGTCTGAGCTTCCCACAGGCCTGGAAGCCTCGGGCAGGACCCGGCCCAGGCTGCAGGCAGAAGAGCAGCCCTTAGCCAGAAGTGGAGCCAGCAGCAAGGGCTTGAGACCTGGTCACTTGTCCCATGCTAGGGCCCACCAACTTCTCCTTCTTTTCTGTGTCCATGGGACTACTTGAGCCACCTGAGGCTGGATTTCCATGTTTTGTAAAAAATAAAGCATCTGTGTTGTACTGTTTTACCTCTGGCCTCTCTGTAGGGGTGGGATGGGCAGGAAGCCTGGACCCTTAGAACCCTGGGCGCATCCAGAGCACTTGAATAGATGGGTGTTGAGCTCTTGGTGTGCACCAGACATTGACTTCAGTCATTGTCTGTAATCCTCATGACAACATTGTGAAAGCAGGAATTAATCTCATTTTGCAAAGGAGCAAGGCTAATGGACTTGCTTCAAAACTCAAAGCTAGCAAAGTAGGGAGAAGCAAGTAACAGTTCAGTCCTCCCCCTCTGCTCCCCAGAAGAGAGGAGGTCTCTGAAGGGCCCAGTGAGCCTCCATGAGCAACATGTGCTGTGGTGAGAGGTGGGAAGGGGAACACCTAAATTGAACTTGGGACCCTGGGTGAGAATAAAAGCAGATCCAGGGTGGTGGCGCTCCTGGCAGAAGTGGAAAGCAAATCCTCTCGAGAAAAGCAGGCTCAGTTTAGATCTCCAGTTCATCCAAGATGAAGATTAACCAAAAAGACCTTACAAAGATCACCAAACATATAAGGAAATGGAGCCCAGTACTTATATCAGCAGAAACAAGAACAGGTTGAAACCCTTGGGGACTTATGAAATTGACAGTGTCAGGCAGACTATGGAAAATAAAATAAGAGAAATCTGGAAAGAAAAGAAAAGATGGAACCACTAAAAAAGTTGCCCTGGCCGGTTTGGCTCAGTGGTTAGAGTTGGCCTGTGGACTGAAGGGTCCGGGTTTCATTCCAGCCAAGGGCATGTACCTCGGTTGCAGGCTTGATCCCCAGCCCTGGTCAGGGCTCATGCAGGAGGCAACCAATTTATGTGTCTCTCTCACATCGACGTTTCTCTCTCTCTGTCTCTCCCTTTCACTCTCTGAAAAGCAATGGAACAAAAAAGTATCCTCCGGTGAGGGTAAAAAAAAAAGATGGAGTCAGCAAGAAGAGGAGATTAAAAGATGATCAGAACTGCAACTGTATAATTATTTCAAAACAAACAGGTTTTTTTAAAATGACCAGAAGGGAAAAAAATCACTTGAGAGTAAAAAAAACAACAACACACTTGTAAATAAATATAGGTAAGAAATGGACTGACTGTTGGCCAGTTTGCATTTATAAGTGCAAATGCATGTTTTCTCATGTTCTTGTGTTTCAACTACATACTCATCTCCATAAATATACAAACACTGTTTTACAAGGTTTTTAACTTTACATAAATGATATTGTAGTGTAATAGATGCTTCTGTAATTTGGTTTTTTAAAATATAGACTATAATTTTTAGAGCAGTTTAAGGTTCACAGCAAAATTTGACTTGTACAGAGATTGTGAAATCTATAACTGCCATTCTCCATATTAACTGATTAAAGGAGAAAATTCATGATTCTTTTTTTATTTTTGTAATCCTCACCCGAGGATGTTTCTATTTATTTTTTTTAGAGAGGGGAAGGGAAAGGGAGAAACATCGATGAGTTGCCTCCTTTTCCCACCCCGACTGGGGATCGAACCCATGACCTGAGTATGTGCCCTAATCAGGAATTGAACCCACAACCTTTTGGTGTGCTGAACAATGCTCCAACCAACTGAGTCACACTGGCCAGGACTTTATTATTTCTTTAAAAAAGATTTTTATTGATTGATTTTAGAGAGGGGGGGAAGGAAGAGTGAGCGAGAATCATCTATTTGTTGCTCCATTTCTGCTTATTTCTGCATCATTGGTTGATTCTTGTATGTGCCCTGACCCGGGATCAAACCCACAGCCTTGGGGTATCAGGATGATTCTCTAACCAACTGAGCTACCCAGCCAGGGCAATACTATTTTTGATGTTGAAGTTTTGGAAACATTTCCTTCAAAATCTGGAACACAAGAAAAACTAAAACAAAACAAAAAAGAAAACAAAATTAGGATAGCAACTCTCACTACCGTAGTGGTGGTACCAGAGCAGTATGACAAGGAAAGGAAATCAAAGGTATAATGATTGTAAAGAAAGAAAATGTCATTATCTGCTTCTGATAGGATTGTCTACATAGAATATCCAAATGAACTTACAAATTTTTGGAAATAAGGATTTAGAAAGTATCTCAGCTATAAGGTCAATATATGCAAAAATCAATTGCATTTCTATACATACACAAGCAACAAAGAATTAGAAAACATAATTTAAAACGACACCATTTGCAAAAGCCACAAGGTACCTAGGAATCTATCAAAAGATGTGAAAGAACTATATAAAGAAAATTGTAACACTTTATTGAAAGACATTAAAGAAGAACTAAGCGAATGGAGAGAGATCCCACAGTCGTGACCAGGAAGACTTGATATTGTAAAGGTGTCAGTTCTCCAGAATCGATCTATAGATTGAAAGTAATTTTAATCAAAAGCTAATCAGGGTTCAAACAGATATTTGTACGCTCGTGTTCACAGCAGCATTACAGTAGCCAAAAGGTAGAAGTGACCCAAGTGTCCATTGACAGATAAACATAATGTGATCTTACAAATGGAATATTATTCAGCCATAAAAAGGAAAAATTTTGACACGTGCTACAATGTGAATGAACTTTGAATATAGTATGCTAAGTAAAGTAAGCCAGACACAAAAGGCCACATATTGTGTGATTCCACTTGTATGCGGTCCCTAGAGTAGTCAAATTCATAGAGACAGGAAGTAAGATGGTGGGTGCCAGGGCCTGAGGAAAGGGGGTGTGGGGAGTTAGTGTTTACTGGGGACAGAGCTTCAGTTGGGGATGATGACAGTGTTTTGAAGATGGGTGGTGGTGACGGTTGCGCAACAGTGTGAATGTACTTAATGCCACTAAAAAGGACACTTAAAAATGAATAAAATGGTGAATTTTGTATTGTGAATATCTTACTACAATATAAAATTTTTAAGTAAAAAAGGACTAAAATGCTAAATTTTATGTTGTGCATATTTTACCACAATTTCAAATAATCTAATTAGGCTTTTAAAAATAATCTAATCAACCCAACAAGCTGATTCTAAAACTTATATGGAAGCACCATAGCCCAAGAAGAGCCTCCTGAGAAAGAAGATGGTGAGAGGATTTGCCTTATTGGGTGCCAAGGTTTATTATGAAGCTATGGTAATTAAGATGATGTGGTGTTAGATGGACAGATTGACCAGTGGGATGAAATAGCCCAAAAAGTGACCCACAGCGCTGTGGGCACTTATATAACAGAAGCAGAATTTCAAGACCATGGGTAAAGGATGTTTGTCTCAATAAACAGTGCTGAGGCAATTGTAGATCTCTATGTAAAAAGAGAAACTTGACCCCTACCTTATACCATACATACAAGGTCCTACCAGTTGATGTTCTCATTGCTGTGTAGGTGAGACTCTATTACATCCTTGCAAACAATGGGCACAACTAAACTTCCTTCCCCATGTATTTTTATTATCTAAAAGCTCTGGAGAAGAACTTTCCTTGCCTCTTCCAGCTTCTTTTTTTTTTTTTTAAATATATCTTTATTGATTTCAAAGAAAGGGAGAGGGAGAGAGAGATAGAAACATCAATGATGAGAGAGTCATTGATCAGCTGCCTCCTGCACGTCCCCAACTGGGGACCGAGCCCACAACCTGGGCATGTGCCCTGACCGGGAATCGAACCCCAATCGCCTGGATCCTAGGTCGATGCTCAACCGCTGAGCCACGCCCAGCCGGGCTCTTCCAGCTTCTGATGGCTCCAGGAGTTCCTTGGTTTGTAGCTGCATTACTATTCTGTCTCCATCATTGTCAACTGGCTTTCTTCCCTGTGTGTCTGTGTCCAAATTTCCCTCTTTTTATAAGGACAACACCCTAATCCAGCATGACCTTATCTTGATTACATCTGCAAAGAGCCTATTTCCAAATTAGATCACGTTTACAAGTTCTAGATGAATATGAATTTTAAGGGGATACCACTCAACCCAGTACATGTATAGCAAGGTCAAAAAAAGCTTACAGTGAACACTCATATATCCACCCCCTACATTCTGCCATTAGCATTTTACTCTCATTGCTTTATCACACACATGTCTCTGTAACAACACTCCTCTCCATTTTATTTTTGGTGCATTCCAAACTAAGTTGCAGACATCAATTCACTTCCTCCCAAATAAGTCACTGTACATATCCTTGAGGGCTCAATATTTGCCTATAGTTACTGGGTTATTTTGTTGTTGCTGTTTCTACCGGTCACCAATCTGAGAAATAAAACAAAAGGGGACACAGGAAAAGGCGAAAGTCTCCCAACTCACTTGCAGCAGTGTCTCCCGTCTTCTGACTCTCGCTGTCACTCTCTTTCCTCTCTTTAAGGGAAACATCGAGAAAGGACAATAGTACACCATGTCTGTATTTCCTCACACTGGTGTCACTCTTGCCAAAGTCTCCAGTGGTTGCTAAGTCCAAGAAACAGTTTTCTGTCCTCATCTTACCTGCTGCTTCCTGGCAGCAGTTGACACCGACTTTGTTAATAATGTGTCCTTGAAACCAAGCTTCTCCCTTCCTCTTTGATGCTCCTCCTATTTCTCTTCTGGACCCTCTTCCTCCCTGCCCATTGTAAGTGCTTTAAGTGCTGGTGTTCCTCCAGCACTTAAAGCCCTCTTCTCTCCCAACAGAGGGTTTATCTGTAGGAAAAAGAAACCACTCTTGCAATTTTTTTCTTTTTTCTTTTTTCAAATATGTCTTTATTTATTTCAGAGAGAGGAAGGGAGAGGGAGAGAGAGATAGAAACATCGATGAGAGAGTCATTGATCGGCTGCCTCCTGCACACCCCACACTGGGGATCGAGCTTGAACCCGGGCATGTGCCCTGACCGGGACTCGAACGGCGATCTCCTGGATCCTAGGTTGATGCTCAACCGCTGAGCCATGCTGGCTGGGCTCTTTTTTAAAAAAAATCCTCACGAGAGGATATTTTTTCCATTGCTTTTCAGAGAGAGTGGAAGGGAGAGAGAGAGAGAGAAACATCAATGTGAGAGAGACATATCTATTGGTTGCCTCCCAAATGCCCCCGGACCAGGGCCGGGGATCAAGCCTGCAACTGAGGTACATGCCCTTGGCCTGAATCAAAACCAAGGTCCTTCAGTCCACGGGCTGACACTCTAACCACTGAGCCAAACTGGCCAGGGCTCTGCAATTTTTTTTATAGAACAGTTTATTACTCACAGAACATTTTGGTGCTGGTTACCTTGCACACATAGCAGGGTTGCACCACAGGAGAGGAACCCTAAAATTATGACACTGAGAGCTTATGTAGCATTTCTGGCACTTTTGCCATCCAAGACACACACACACACACACACACACACACACACACACACACAGAGGCCTCATATTTACTCTGGAATTAAACAAATCCTCCCTAGAGAGGGGGGAGGCATCTCTAGGTTTATTACCCTAAATGTAAGCTAAAAGCAAATCTCTAGAAAGAAGGGAATTTTTAATGATCTTAGAAGGTCTCCAGGGAGGGAGGCTTATCTTTATCATAGCTTATCAATTTTCTTTGCTCAGAAGGCCCCAACTGTGCAGGAACACCAAGAAATCCATGGAGAATTGTCTCCCAACACACAGTAATTTAAATAGGGGATGCTTAATGTAAAAATTACTAAGCAACAATAGGAGAGTAACTTTAAAGGTAGATAGCAACCTCTAAAGGGTAATACAGTCCTGAGGGAGTATATTCAAGGAAAGACAAACTTCCTTCGAAGGGTGTGTTCTTGTTAAAAGATGTAGTTTCAGCCCTCTGGATGGTATAGAAATTCACTGAGTTGTCCAGGCCAAAGCTGGTCCACAGTCACTAGATCTACAGGAACAACCCTTTGGAGAGCAAGCAAGGGTGGGCACACAGACAGTTGGACATGCAGAGGAAGGTGGGGCACCACTGCAGGCACTGCTAAAACTGGGAGTTGGAGACACTCTCTTCTGCAGGAACTCAGCAAACTTCTGTGTACAGTTTGAGCCACAGTGGCTCTGAGTGGCCAGAGTGACTCTGGGTGGCCAGCCCCACAGGAGCTCCCCGCATGTGCACGTCCAGGGCTGAGGGCTGAGGAGATGGAGTGGGAAGCAGTGACCTGAGCTGGGTACAGACTTGTCTGGGGCTCTTGTACACACTGCTGCTGTGTGAGTTGAGAGCTGGAAAGAAAGTGTGATGAAAGCTATGACTTGCAAGCTTTTGCCACTGGAGAAAATCATGCAGGCTGAGTAGGAAGGAGGGCATCTTCCTTTTCAATGCTATCACACCACCTGTACAGAAGTGAAGTTTGAAAGTGTCCAGTTTCTACTTTTTAGCAACTTCTAGAATTCCTGTACACAGAGATCATTCCAACAATTCTTCTACATAAAAGCTTTTCACTTGAAGTATTTTACGGCTTCTCTTGGGCACATCTGAATTGCCAGCATTACCCCTCTTGCACAACTCAGGAATAACCAGATGTAAAAGATGCATAGGGCGAAGTATTGCGAAAGGGCGCTGCGCTACTGAGTCCTCTCCAGGCACTCCACTCTCTTGCAGTTTTTTACAATATCTTTTAAAATGCATTTTAGAGAGAGAAACATCAACATCCCATCGGCTGCCTCCTGCACTCCCCCTACGGGAGATCGAGCCTGAAGCCCAGGCATGTGCCCTGACCAGGAATCGAACCGGTGACCTCTTGGTGCATGGTTCTACTCTCAACCACTGAACCACACTCGCCAGGCCTCTCTCGCAATTTTAAACTGAAAGATGAAAGCACGGGCGAAGCCGAGGGTGTGGGGCCTGTCCAGCGGAGCCCGCTCTGGCCCCCCACTGGCCCCGCCCCGCCCCGCCTATCCTATCTTGTCAGTGTCAGCTGAGTCGGCTGGGTGGCGGTGAGAACTGACGGAGCTCGATCCACTTCCCTTTCCTACAGGAGCGTGCGCGCCTGGAGACACGTTTGGCCAATCAGTGAAAAGGAGCGACCGTGAGTGGCCTGCACTCTGGCCAA